GACGTGACATGTTCGTACGAACCCTTTGTACGAACAAAAGTAAGAGAAATTTAGGATAAGAATACGAACATGTTCTTGCATGAGGCCCAATGTTAGGAAAAAGATGTTAAACCTCATCAAACAGTTTCTAAGCAGCAAATGCAAATATTAACTAGAACTGCAAAGCAGTTGTGACTGGGGTCCAAGCCCATTTATGCATGTCGACCTTGGTCCATTGACTTGTACACCACATAGTTGTAACATGAGGAGTATGTATAAGGTCTGTTTGAGACCCTAATATTGTAAATATAACTGATCTTAGAATTACAGGGAAGGCAAATAAAACCACAGTTTTTATTGTGTAAGTCTCTCTAAAACATGTAAGACGTGGTGGAACCACTCTGTCATGATGTGACAGTTGCACACATACTGTGATCAAACAGAATTAGTAGGCAGAGAGAGAGACTCTCAGCTACTACCACACCAGATGTGAAGTGAGTGTCTGTACACAGAATGCTCCTCCTCTGCCTGTCAGCAGTGAGTGAGAAGACAGTCAACAGTAGAGAGGTGGTGGGACATGTAGTGGCAGAACAGCTCTAACTAACCAGGCTTGTGTTTGCACAAACAGCCTCATGCCTCCTTGTGCCAGCTGACTTTCACTTCCTGCATGTGAGAGCAGTGAAGCGGGTGACTAACAGAGCAGTTTTAGTCTCGGCTGTGGTGCTATCAGGAAGCAGCACGTGTTGTAAAAACAGAAATAATTCATGGTTTCAAGTCTTGTTTGGTTTTTGCCATCTAGACTCAACAGTTCAGCAAAGCCCAACAACTATTTAAATATCTAAAGACCACCATGTTCAACTGTTTCCTCTATTAAAGCCATCAACTCATTTTCCAGTGTTCAATCTGTTGACTYTACTCGGGTTAACACTCTGGTTTTTGATTAAATTTGAGTGTTATCTTCACAGTGCAGCCGCCCTAAACTTCTACAGGAGTTTCTACAACCCTGATTCCAGTGAAGTCGGAACGTTGTGTAAACATAAATAAAAACAGAATATGATGATTTTCAAATCCTTTTCAGACAAGATATTTAATGTTCAAATGGATAAACATTGTTTTTTTTGTTTTCAAATCTTCACTCATTTTGAATTTGATGCTGCAATAGGTTCATGTTTCCTCTGTGTTCCATCATCTTTCCTTGTAACAACACTCAGTGTTTGTGAACTGAGGACTCTAACTGTTGAAGCTCTGTTGCTGAATTATTTCATTGTTGCTTGATGAACAACTTCAGTTGCTCTACAGTCCAGGGCCTCTTCATAAAGCTCCACACATTTTCAGTGGGAGACAGATGTGGACTGCAGGACAGTCTAGTTCCTGCTGGTTTTCTGAGGTCTTCCTGAGCCCATGTGTTAATATCTGTTACAGAATGATGTGGATTTTAATGCAGTGCTGCCTGAGGGGTCAAAGATCACAACATTCAGTGTTGGTTTTCAGCCTTGCTGCTGACTTGCAGAGATTTATCCAAATTCTCTAAAACTTTTGATATTATTGATTGCAGATGATGAAATCACTAAATTCTTTGCAATTGTATGTTGAGAATCGTTCCCAAAGTGCTGAACCTCGCCCCATTCTTGCTTGTGAACGACTGAGCCTTTCAGGGATGCTCATCTGTTTTCATTTAACCTGTTCACTTGTGGAATGATTTTTTGATCATTCCACAACTTTCCCAGTCTTCAGTTGCWCCTGTCCTAGCTTTGTTGGAACATGTTGCATCAAATTCAAAATGGGTGAATATCTGAAAGAAAACAAAGCTGATCAGTTTGCACATTAGATATCTTGTCTTTGTAGTGAATTCAGTTGGATATATGGTAGGTTGAAAAGGATTTGGAAATCATCATATTCCGTATTTATTAAAGTTTTTCACAACGTCGCAGCTTCATTAGGGTGGGTGTTGTAGTAAAGCTAATGTGATTTGCATCATATTTAAAATCTAAAACAGTTCAAAGTTTTTATTAAAGACAGAAATGTTTTACAAACTTCAGCTTTTCCTTACAAACTTTTAATATTCAGGGTTTAATTTATTTTATTTATAAATTTTATTCATTTTTTCTTTAAAAATCAAAAAATTCCATATATGAAAGTACAAATCACAAATTAAATGAAAGGCAGCAGAAGAAGGAAACATCTTATATCTGCCTGAAGAAGAGACAAAAGCCCAGTTTTACTGCTACATGTTTCAAACTAAGGTCATGTCCACAGCGAGCCTTCAGCCCGGGCCTGAGACTGACCCAGGTGTAGCTCTAATAACGATGGTTCAAACTACACATTTATTCCTGCAGCATACCTGAACCTGGTCTCTCTCCTCTTCCTCGTGCCATCACAGCACTATCCTCTGGTGATGAGGAGTAATTACATGAACCAAACAGAACAGACACCTTCAGTATGGAGGCTGGAGAAAACAACACACCTGTCATGCAGTAGCCACTCCTCTGACTCTCCTTAATGCTCACATTTAGGACAAAACATGTAAAGGATTAGGTCTAAAACCACACTGATGATTAACAATAATTCTAATAATGCTGCTATGAATCAGCTTCTCTTCACTTGTAAAGTCTCCAGTAGCTTCAGTCAGAACCACAGTGGTTGAGGTGGGTGTCATGTGGAGGGAGGAGGGCTTCATTAATCTGCCGCTCTAAACACAAACACGACTCACTGATGCAGCTGAAAATCTGCTGATTTTCTTAGAATTTAGTCACCAGCCAGTCTCCAACAGTCATAAAATACCCAGTGATTTTCAGTTTTCCTCTGATTCTGTCACAACAAAACAACAAAACTGTTTTAAATGACAGAAATATAACCTCAGTTAAACACTTGGCACTCTGACATTATCTAAGAAAATACAGACCCTGACTATAATGTGATGCCTGGTCTAATGAGAGGTCTTACCTGCAGACGTGTTAGTTCATGAAGCGTGTTGTGAATGACTCAGCTACTACCACCTCATGTTCAGCTCAGTGTCAGTAAAATGACTGATCCTGGTTACCTGTGGTGCCATCTTCAGTTAGGTCCAAGAAGTACTCAGGTGTACATTTATTGACTGGGTTTCATTCAGATCCATTCTGTGCTTTGTGAGATCTTTTACTAACAGACAGTGCTGTCTCATGCTCTCAGGTTAATGTATTCTAACAGCAGGCACAGCTACAGGCTTTCAGCAGCTGGGAATAATAAGCCCCGCCCCCTTTCCTCTCTTTTTAAATGCTTTCATCCATCCTGATCATTTCTAGTCCTCTGCATGCACAKCTGTGGAATGATCCTCCTCACTCATCACGTGATATTACATGTTGAAGCTGACATGTGTCTCCACTGTGCTGTAGAGTTCGCAGAAACAGTGAGAAGATGATGAACCCAGAGAGACAGAGGAAGGGTCTGGACAAGAAGGCAGCGTCTTCCACCAACCTGCTGAGCCGCTCCCTCAGCCTGGAGAGGTCAGCTATAGATGAATGTGTCACACACACGCACACACAAACACACACACATGCACATACACACACTCATACACCATTGACTTACATTCATGTTTTTAGACTTTATATCCTAACCCTGACCATATACTCTAAAATTAACCTCACTGGTACCTACCTGACCCTAACAC